TAATATTTAGACAGACCTTTTGAACTTGATTTTTTCTCTCTAACCAGTTTCCTGATATGCTATTGAAGTTTTTACTGATGTTATCATTGTAGCATTGTGTTTTTATGTTGTACATTGTCTTGTTATATTTCTTTTTTTAAAAAATAATTTTTATTAAGGTTTTAAACAACAAAGAAAGAGAAAAAAACATAGGCAATACCTATAACAACAACACACACACACACAAAAACAAAATTCAACAATAAAAAAACCAAAAAACATAACAATTAAAAACAATATCTCTTTTCCATTTCCATTTTTAAGTTACTTATTTTCTGGACTTCCTCATACCTCCCTCTTTTGTATTCCAAACCAAAGTGTTTGTCCAGCAGTTTCTTTTCCACTTTTTTAATCCCAATCTTTAGTTTAATAAAATATTAAAATATATAACTTCAACTTCTTTAAACCTAATCCTTGGTCTTAGTATCATATAACATTAAAATTTTCCCTCTTAATATCAAATTTCCATTTCTTTAAACATCTTTAATCTTAATCTTTAATCTTAGTCTATCATTAACTTTAACCTGTACAGCTGGAAACCACTTGTTTTCAGTCCAACATCACTCTAACATTCCTTAATTTTGCAGTGTTTCTGAAGATAGTCTTTAAATTTCTTCCAATCTTCCTCCATCGACTCTTCTCCCTGGTCACGGATTCTACCAGTCATTTCCGCCAATTCCATATAGTCCATAAGTTTCATTTGCCATTCCTCCAGCGTGGGAAGTTCTTGTGTCTTCCAATACTTTGCGATGAGTATTCTTGCTGCTGTTGTTGCATACATAAAGAAAGTTCTATCCTTCTTTACCACCATTTGGCCGACTATACCCAGGAGGAAGGCCTCTGGTTTCTTAGGGAAAGTATACTTAAATACCTTTTTTAATTCATTATATATCATTTCCCAGAAAGCCTTAATCTTTGGGCACGTCCACCAAAGGTGAAAAAATGTACCTTCAGTTTCTTTACATTTCCAACATTTGTTATCGGGCAAGTGATAGATTTTTGCAAGCTTGACTGGGGTTATGTACCACCAGTATATCATTTTCATAATATTCTCTCTTAAGGCATTACATGCCGTAAATTTCATACCTGTGGTCCATAACTGTTCCCAGTCAGCAAACATAATATTATGTCCAACGTCCTGTGCCCATTTAATCATAGCCGATTTTACCGTTTCATCCTGAGTATTCCATTTCAGCAGCAAGTTGTACATTCTTGACAAATTCTTAGTTTTGGGTTCTAACAATTCTGTTTCTAATTTGGCTCTTTCCACCTGGAAGCCAATTTTCCTGTCCAATTTAAATGCCTCCATTATCTGATAATAATGAAGCCAGTCTCGCACTTTGTTTTTTAGTTTTCAAAACTCTGCAATTTCAGTCTATCTCCGTCTTGTTCCAAAATTTCCCAATATTTCGGCCATTTGACCTCCATATTGGCCTTTTTCAAGGCTTTCGCTTCCATTGGTGACAGCCACCTTGGGGTTTTGTTTTCTAACAAATCCTTATATCTTAACCAAACATTAAATAGCGCTTTCCTGACAATGTGGTTTCTAAATGCTTTATGTGCTTTGACCTTATCATACCATAGATATGCATGCCATCCAAATACATTATTAAAACCTTCCAAGTCCAAAATGTCAGTGTTTTCAAGAAGTAGCCATTCTTTCAACTAGCAAAAGGCTGCTGATTCATAGTAAAGTTTAAGGTCTGGCAGGGCAAATCCACCTCTTTCCTTTGCATCTGTTAGTATTTTAAATTTTATTCTAGGCTTCTTGCCCTGCCAGACAAATTTAGAAATATCTTTCTGCCACCTCTTGAAACAATCCATTTTGTCCACAATCTGCAAAGTTTGGAACAAAAACAACATTCTAGGCAATACATTCATTTTTATCGCAGCAATACGGCCCAGCAGTGAAAGCTTCAAATTTGACCAAATTTCTAAATCTTTTTCACTTCAGACCAGCATTTTTCATAGTTATCTTTAAATAAGTTCCCATTTTTGCTGTCATGTTAATCCCCAAATATTTAACTTTCTTAACCACTGTTAAACCTGTCTCATTCTGAAACCTCTCTCTTTCAATCGGTGTTAAATTTTTCTCTAAAACCTTGGTTTTTGACTTATTCAGTTTAAATCCTGCCACTTGACCAAATTCTTGAATCAGTTCTAAAACTCTTTTAGTACTAGATTCTGGCTCCTGTAACGTCAATACTAAGTCATCTGCAAATGCTCTCAATTTGTACTGTTTAGTTCCGACCTGTATACCTTTGACCGACTGGTCCCTTCTAATCATATTCAGCAAAACCTCCAGGACCGAAATAAAAAGAAGTGGGGAAATTGGGCAACCTTGTCGTGTCCCTTTTTCAATTTTAAGTTCTTCCGTCACAACATTATTTACAATTAGTTTAGCCTTTTGTTCTGAATAAATTGCACTTATACCATTCTCAAAACCTTGGCCTACCCCCATACCCTGTAGGTTCTTCTTCATAAAATTCCAAGAAATATTGTCAAAGGCTTTCTCTGCGTCTACAAATATCAACACTGCTTTAGTATTTATATTCACTTCTAATTTTTCCAAGATATCAATTATATTCCTCAAATTGTCAGACAAATGTCTTCCTGGGAGAAAGCCCGCTTGGTCTTTGTGAATCTCTTCCATCAACACTTTTTAAATCTCTTCGCCAAAATATCTGCAAAAATTTTGTAATCCACATTAAGTAATGATATAGGGCGGTAGTTCTTAAGTTGTGTCTTTTCAGTCTCTGTTTTTGGTACAAGTGTAATATATGCTTCTTTCCACGACTCTGGTGCTCTCTTCCCCTCCATTATTTCATTGCAGACCTCTTTCAATGGTTGAATTAACCATTCTTTTAAAGATCTATAGTATCTAGAGGTCAAGCCATTTGGTCCTGGAGATTTACCCAGTTGCATGTTTTGAATGGCACCTTCTATTTCCTGTTCAGTTATTCTATGGTTCAAAATTAATCTATTTTCTTGAGATATTTTTTGTAATCCATTTGTTTTCAAAAATTGGTCTAAATCTGTTTCTTTCATTGGCCCTTGAGTATATAGTCGTTTAAAATACTTCTGGAAACAACTTCTGATCTCCGCTGGGTTCTGTATATTCCTTCCTTCCACTTCTAAATTCGTAATCGTATTTAGTTTTTGTCTCTTTTTCATTTGCCATGCCAACAATTTGCCACATTTATTGGCTGATTCAAAAGTCTTTTGTCTCATTTGTTTAATTTTCCATTCTATTTCCTGATTCATCATTTTCATATATTGTACTTGATATAGCTTTAACTCTCTCAAAATCTCTTGAGATTTGGGATTTACTCTCAGTCTTTTTTCACATTCATTTATTTTGTCCATTATTTTATCCTTCTTCTCATTTTGAGTTCTTTTCTTTATCACATTCTGTTGTATTAAGAACCCTCTCATAACCGCTTTACTTGCGTCCCAGATTACTCTTTTCTCCACGTTGGAACTAAGATTTATCTCGAAGTAATCTCTCAGAGTTTTTTGGGCCTTCTTAAGAAATTCTTCATCTCTAAATAAGGTGTCATTCATCTTCCATCTGAAGGAGCCAGTTGATGTTAGTCTCATTTCCATCTTGACAGCATTATGGTCGGAGCAAATTTTCGGGCAGATTTCCACCTTTCTTGTCTTTGGTGCCATTCCTCTAGTTATCCAAATTTGGTCAATTCTTGTCCAGGTCATTTTGGCTTCAGAAAAGAAAGTTCCCTCTTTAGCCAAGGGGTTTCTAATTCTCCAAATGTCCACTAAATCCAAGTTGTCTGTCATATCAAAAAAGGTTTTCGGTAGTCTACCATCCTTGGTGACTACCTGTCTTTGTGCCTTGTCCATATAAGTAGATACCACTCCATTCATATCTCCCATCAGAATCGTGTTATAGTCCATATGGTCCATCAGGGTCTCATGCAACTTCTTAAAAAAATCAGATTTCCCATCATTTGGTGCGTAGACTCCTACAATCAGAATTTTTTCTCCTTGTGTTTGAATTTCAGTTGCCACAAATCTTTCTTGGTCATCTTTAAAAACAAATTTCGGTGATAAATTGTCTTTTGCGTAAATCACAACCCCTCTCTTTTTAACTTTGTCCGACGAAATAAATTCCTAACCAAGTCTTTTATTTATCAACAATTTCCTGTGTAATCTTGTTATATGTGTTTCTTGTAGACAAATTAGGTCCAATTGTTCCTTTTTTAATATATGAAATACTGACTTCCTTTTCTGAGGGGAATTCAAACCCCGACAGTTCCATGTTAAAAGTTGCAGGGCCATGATGTTATTGTTTTAGTTCTCCTCCTACTGCACCTAGTGCCTGTTCCTCATCCGTCGGTGGTATCCCTTCTTTCGAACGGTCTTTTGATTCCGGAAATAGTTCTTTTTGTAAGTCTTCTCCGTGGTCTCTGCAAAATTTGTCTTTGTCGTCTTCCGATCTTATTTTCCTCTTCTTTCCTTTGTAGCTAAAAGACAGGCCTTGAGGGAGTTCCCACCTAAAGTTGATACTGTTCCTTCTCAGCAGGGTAACCAAGTCTTTGTAGTTTGATCTGAGATCCAGAAGGTATTTCGGAATATCTTTAAATATTTCCACCCTTGTCCGTTGGATTTCCAGTGTCTTCTTAAAATGTAGGCCCAAAATCTTATCCCTCTCTTCTTTTGTTCGAAAGGTAATCAAACAGTCTCTCACCTTCTTCTCTCCTCTTCTCCCAAGTCTAAAAGCATTTACTATTTTGAAACTGTCTTTTGTGGTTCGAGGACCCGACCCCCGCGATGTGAATGAATACACAAGGACACGTGATATAAGGTTAATGGGCATGGAAAGGCCACAACTTTATTGATTACAGCAGTGAAAAGGTATTGGCTTAGGCATTGGATCTCTAAAACACGTGGGTTTATTCACCAGTAGGTGGAGCCTGTTGATGCTAATCCAACTATAGGCTCCCCTGATGTCACCGAGGGTCGTGCCATGGCCTCCCGCCAAGCAGGCATCGGACAGAACACACGACCGCCAGATTCCTTTAACGGAATACCCAAAAATTGAAGGCATAGGCGATGGCCACACCTAGCCCTTCGACACACCACAACACATTATTCCAATGCCTAACCGCCACCCGAGCCAATAAGGCTCGCCGCCAATACCCTCACGGCTGTAACCAATCCCTAATGCCGCTGATGACACTATCTAGCCAAATGTTGTTCCCCTGGTCAGAGGGAAGCACCCTGTCATTCCGGTATAAGGCCCGGTCGCCGATCCGGATTTGGTCATGAATAATGACTCGGCCATCCATGAAGCGCACCCAACGGGCCACTGCCCGATTTACGAGTTTCCTGGTTTTTTCAATGGCCATACAGCTCAGCGCACCACGCCAAAAAATTCTCTTCAGGAAGGAGGACCAGAACACCGTTGTTCTGGGGCACAAGGCAGCAAACGCATCCAAGTCTCTTTTTATATTCCACAACAAGTCCGCACTCCTTCTGTAAGCAAGGTAATTTTCCCCTAATTGAATGACAAGGATGCCGGGAGGGCCGAACGTGGCGACTTTTTCCCACAGCAATGGCATAAGCTCTTCCCAGTGCATGCCTGTTCTCGAGAACCAGGAAACTCGAACACCGTGTGGCAGACCAAGATTAGGTGCAAGGCCGCAGCTGACTGCCCATACGCGGGCCCAATGGACTATACTGTGGCCGCAAATCCACACGCTTCTCCTGATCACAGCTGAGGATAAAAGGACAGAAAAGGAGGTAAGTAGGGGTAATATAGCAGAGCGCATTCTAGCGAATATAACTTTTATAAGCATTGGATTTCCGTTTTGGATTGATGTATCCACACCGTCGTGCTAGCTTCGGACAACTGCAAGTCCTCCGTGAGGAGGCCGCGCGTTGACCTAGTTGCATTAACCTCGGCTAGTACTTCACCGACCCTCAAGGCGCCAAAAGGTGATCGCATATGCAGCGGGGGGAAAAAAGGCAGGCCTCAAACTTGGTCCAGCAGATTGACCTAAACTTTGTGCATATCTGAGAGAGCAGCCCGTAAGGAATTGGCTTAGCATATGCTGCGGCTTATGGCCCTCGGCTCTATGGGGTTACAGCTTACCCCAACCTTCAATAGCTCTGCGGATCAGGAAGTCACTGCACGGGTCGGAGGAAAACATGGCTTTACAAAGAAGCTGATGGCGGCTACGTGTATCTTTAACGTTTTGGGGGCCCGGCCTAAAGGAGGCTATAACGTATGCCGCAGAGAACACCCGGGCCTCGAACTTGGACCAGCAAATTGACCTAAGTTTCATATGGATTTGGGACAGCAGCTTGTAAGAAATAGGCTTGCGGCCTTTGTTACTTGGAGGCTGCAGTCACCTGCAACCTTCAATTGCCCTGCGGACCATAAAGTCACAGCACGAATCGGTGGAAAAACATGGGTCTACTAAAGAATGTGATAGCGGCTATGTGTATCCTCAAAGTTTTCGAGGCTCAACCTAGGCCATGAAGGTGTGTTAAGTATTGCAGAACGTTTTCTGTGGAGGGTGTAACATTGGTGGAAAGGGAAGATACTTTGGACCTGAACCCCATGAAATCACACCAGACCTTCTTATATGATCTAAGCGTAGAGGGTGCGACAGATGCTAATACTCCCTTAATCACTTCATGTCTCCAAGGTTCCACAGGTGCTCCGGAATGGGTTCTGGCAGTGGCTGAGCCCTGGGAGCTAATGCTCGGAAGCGAGGCACTGGAGGACGAATGATTGGAGTAGGCGCGACACCCTCTCGGAACGCGATGACTGTTTAGCCAGTAAGTTGACCACTGCCTGGTTATCAGTTCTGAAGCACACCCGGCGATTCTGGAACTCCTCAGTCCAAATGTGAACAGCCACAACTAAGGGGGGAAAAAACTCCAGAAAAGTGAGATCCCACGTGATAGCCTCGCCTTGCTCCTCTGCTGGCCATTGTTGAGCACACCAGCGTCCCCTAAAGAATAAACTGAAGCCCAAGGACCCAGCGGCATCAGTGAACCTGGAAATCTGAGGACAGGTTGAGGATTTCCTGCCATAAGGAGACTCCATTGTAGCGTTCCAGAAACGTGATCCAGATCTCAAGGTCTGTCTTAACCGATTTTGGGAGTCTTACCCTGTGGTGCGGTTTGTTTGTTTGTTTTTGTTATTTTATTTTATTTTTAAGGTTAGGTATGCACATAGGCCCCAAGACTCATTTTGTATCATGACTTTTAAACTTCTGATTTGTTTCTGAGTCACTTGGTGCTCTCTGTGCTGAATCTGAAGGGGGCTGGCACACAGACTAACTGAATGTGGATGTTCATTATGCACTGTATCATAGTATAGTACAGTGATTATAAAATTATCTGCCTGAGTATACGTTTTCATCATGTGTAAAACTCTTAAGGAATAAACAAATAGTTCTATATTGTGATCAAGTAACTCCTAGAACAAAACTGTAAGTTTTAGCTTCAGAAAACCAGTTGCTTCTAGCCAACATCCTGTTGCCCATGTAGCTAAATTTTTTGCACTTTTGATTGTTAGTTGATAACACGATTGTTAGTATGACAAGAGATTGGTGGGATGCTCTCCTACAGATTTCCAAAACTGTTGTACTACAGACACAGCCAGGACATTCCAGACACAGCCAGGACATTCCAGAACACTTCTATCTGGTACTGTAAATGTCAGGTTTCAGTTTCACTCTAGCTAGAAAGAACTGCTACATATGCAACATGTTCTAGAAGATTGCCAAAGGTGAGCTCTTGGCAAAAGCGTTATCCACTTCAGTGAAATGTTATTTCTCACCAAACTAGCAATTTGTTTACTAACTATACATGTTCCCTAATATAGTTAAAGCATTGAAATTATGCGATTTCGACTGTTGGGCTTAAAGGCTTACTAGATTATAGGACTAAGGACTAAATGATTATTGTACTTCTTTGCAATTTTGCCCACAGCTGCCCTGCTCATTGGGAGAACAGGAAATGGATCTGGAACACTTCAAAGCAGTACCATTGCTCCCATGTGTCTTCCTGTTTGGGCTGTCATTTTGTTAAAGCTGTGGTCTTGCTCTTGTAGTTGATCTGGGAGAAAAAGGCAGGTTCCCCATGGGAAATAATAATAATAATAATAATAATAATAATAATAATTCCTGTATGAGGTGTTACGGAATGATACATTTGGTTGCCTAATAATCTCAAAAGGGGGGTGGGTCTGGGAAGGGGTGCCTCTGTCCTGGAGACCAAGCAGGGGCTAAGTGGCGGCCCTGTTGGGTTCATCCCAATTAGCTGTATGCCATAGTGTGACTCCAGAGGCGGAGCTAGCTGCTCTGGCACCCAAAGTGGCACACATAGTGTGCACCCGGGGTGGGGCTAGCTACCCGTTGGGTGAGGCGAGCGTCCTTTCCCTTACTGACTTCTGATTAGGAGAGTCCTTCGCGGTTAAGGAGCTTCTGAAACCCTCTGAGAAACCCTTCCAAAGATAGGATGCTGCACTTCCGTCCGGATGGATAGACAAGAGGTTGAGGAGAGGAGAAAGCTGAATTGGAGAAAATGCTAGACCCAGAAGGACTTTATCGATGGTTCGCTGCTGCGGGGGCTCGTCTAGAACTAGAGTGGTGGAAGCCCCGACCTCCCCAAAAGGGCCGCTTCCCTTTGTAACACGCTGTGGCTGGGTGAGCCCCTGCACATCTCTCACACTCCTGCGGGTACTTACAAGACTGCCTTTGGCATTGCCCTTTATTGAATTACCAGCAGGTCTCAGGCTTGCTCGCCGACTTTCGGAACCGCACCAGGGCGCCTGCGTGGAGGCTGCCGGCCCATATCAATAACCCGGTTGCTTCCAGTTCTTCTAGTTCTTTGCAGAATAAGCAGCCCAGGGTCCAGCTTCCAGAATCAGGCACCTCATCAGCCGGTGATGATGAGTCAGAATGGCTTACGCCCTTTCTGGGGAGGCCACCGCTATTAGCATCTGGCAGTTAGCCCGTATGTCGAGAAGAAGCCATCAGAGGTGTATCGCACTGGAAAGCTGGGCCTGTGACTCGCGACGAGACGACGGCGAAGAATGAGGCCAGGGAGAGGCTGGCACCGCAGCATAAGGCTGCTGAACACGCCCCCTCCGAGGCACCTGGTTGGATGCCTGCAGAGGGGGCGTGGGCGCCAGCCAGGTGAGGTGGAGGCAGGGGGCAACCGCCCCCTGCTAGGGGCGGTGCTCGGGCTCCCGCCCACAACCACTCCCCTCTCTTCCAGGGAGGAGAGTCTTTGCCAATTCTGGATCCCAAAAGTCCAAAAATTCCTGCGTGAGAAATTCAGTTAGATTGTCCTTTTCCACCTCAGGTACCGATCTGACCCGTAAGTTCACTTGCTTTTCCTTCAATTCTATCATAGACAGGGTCAATTTATGGTCTTCCAGTTGTTTGTGCAGTGTTGGTATTGTCTCTTGGACCTCTTTAACCTCTGTAGCAGAAGTTGTAGCAATTTCTTTAGCCTCCTCAGCAATCTGGCGTATTGAGGCCGATTCCTCTAATAATTTCTGAATAGTCTCTGTGTTGGTATTTACTTTCTGGCCCAAATTATTTATACTTGCAGTATTCTGATTAGTACTTGTTGTATTTTGATTGATACTTATTGTATTTTGATCAATCTTGTCACATGCCTCTGCTACTTGTTGGCTTATTCTGTTTAAAGATTCATTGACCTTGGCCAAGACTTGAGCAAAGGCATCATCACTTGTCGTACCTTTTACTTTTAGTTGTGCCGATGAGGCTGTTGTTAAGGTTCCAGAAGGGCCTGAGGCCGAAGATCTCCTTTGTAATCCTTCTTCTGTGCGAATAGGCCTTCCCGACCTTGTAGTCGATGCATCCGCTTTCTCTTTACCATCTGCCATTCCTTTAGATAATGCTCAAGGTCAGTCACGCAGTTAAAATCAAACAGTGGAAATTTCCAACAAAGCAATGTGAGAATTCCTCAAGCCAGCTACAGTTTCAATTATAACAAGTTGTAACAATTCCAAATTCCACTAGGGGGGGGACACTGTAACAGTCATAAAAGTTCTTGGATACTTTAGTTTCTTTTTTAAGCCCCTCCAGTTTATTCAGGAAGAAAACAGTCTATACAAAATATTAACTTAGGACCAGGAGATATATATTCACATAATATGTCCAGACTTTTATTCCCTGTGCAGGACTAGCTGTCAAAATATATTGCAAGACAGTACCTCTCTTTCTTTCCTAAGTTACCTCTGGAGATCCTTTCCCAGGGAATTGAACGATGGTTTAATCCCTTCTATTCCACTTCTTTGTGAAGAAATCACATCCACAATTCTCCCCCCTTTTCCCTCAGTTTAAGGAGGGAAAAGTCCAGGTTAGATGGTTGGATTAAAGTCCACTATACGTGCTTTTCCAATGCTTCCGCTTTCAAGTTCAATGCTTTATTTTATCTACAAGGAAAGAGGCAGACTTCCTTTTTATACCTCTTTCCGTTTTTGGCCAAATTCCGATTTGTACAGTTCCAATTAGATTATATCCTACTCACGGATCGTTGATTTTCGAGTCCGAATTTCAAGGAAAAAAGGCAGCGCTCTCCGGTCAACAGCTTGCGGCTTCACACCATGAACGAGCAGACAGCCCACAGCACAGCGCTCTCCCCCGCTCCGATTCCGAGCCCGTTGCCGGGCTTTTTACCGGGTTGGGGGGGGCGCCAAATGTGCCCGCTGGGTCCCAGGCTCACAGGCTTCCTCCGCCTGTGATTTTTGAGGGTCCCCCGCTACGCCGAAGCGGGATTAGACCCTTAGTTTTGTGGCGAGATTTCCTCCGATCGAGGAAATCCGCCATTAACCGCTGGCGCCGCCTCCGGAAGTCCATTGTCTTGTTATATTTCCTACAAAAGTGGAGTTTATAAATATTTTAAGAAATACATGTAAATAAATGAATCAGATGTGAACACAGAAATCAGCAATATGTTGCATTTTCCTTACCACATTTACAGAAGACTGGACAAAAACAGCAATACTGCATTGTTGTGTTACCTCACAGTACAGCAAATGCACTGTTCACTGTTTCCACTGCAGACAATTCTTGTTGTTGTTTAGTCGTTTAGTCGTGTCCGACTCTTCGTGACCCCATGGACCAGAGCACGCCAGGCACTCCTGTCTTCCACTGCCTCCTGCAGTTTGGTCAGACTCATGTTTGTAGCTTCGAGAACACTGTCCAACCATCTCGTCCTCTGTCATCCCCTTCTTCTTGTGCCCTCAATCTTTCCCAGCATCAGGGTCTTTTCCAGGGAGTCTTCTCTTCTCATGAGGTGGCCAAAGTATTGGAGCCTCAGCTTCACGATCTGTCCTTCCAGTGAGCACTCAGGACTGATTTCCTTAAGAATGGATACGTTTGATCTTCTTGCAGTCCATGGGACTCTCAAGAGTCTCCTCCAGCACCATAATTCAAAAGCATCAATTCGTCGGCGATCAGCCTTGTTGATGGTCCAGCTCTCACCTCCATACATCACTACTGGGAAAACCATGGCTTTAACTATATGGAACTTTGTGGGCAAGGTGATGTCTCTGCTTTTTAAGATGCTGTCTAGGTTTGCCATCGCCTTCCTCCCAAGGAGCAGGCGTCTTTGAATTTCGTGACTGCTGTCACCATCTGCAGTGATCATGGAGCCCAAGAAAGTAAAATCTCTCACTGCCTCCATTTCTTCCCCTTCTATTTGCCAGGAGGTGATGGGACCAGGAGGTGATGAGACCATATTTTGCGCTCTCCTCTTTCACCCTCATTAAAAGGTTCTTTAATTCCTCCTCATTTTCTGCCATCAAGGTTGTGTCATCTGCATATCTGAGGTTGTTGATATTTCTTCCACCGATCTTAATTCTGGCTTGGGATTCATCCAGCCCAGCCTTTCGCATGATGAATTCTGCATATAAGTTAAATAAGCAGGGAGACAATATACAGCCTTGTCGTACTCCTTTCCCAATTTTGAACCAATCAGTTGTTCCATATCCAGTTCTAACTGTAGCTTCTTGTCCCACATAGAGATTTCTCAGGAGACAGATGAGGTGATCAGGCACTCCCATTTCTTTAAGAACTTGCCATAGTTTGCTGTGGTCGACACAGTCAAAGGCTTTTGCATAGTCAATGAAGGAGAACTAGATGAAGCAGAAGCCTTTCTGGAACTCCCTAACTTTCTCCATAATCCAGCACATGTTTGCAATTTGGTCTCTGGTTCCTCTGCCCCTTCGAAATCCAGCTTGCACTTCTGGGAGTTCTCGGTCCACATACTGCTTAAGTCTGCCTTGTAGAATTATAAGCTTGGAAGAGACCACAAGGGCCAAATCCCGTTGCACCAAGAAGTGATCTGACCAAGAGGTCTTCCGGGTTAGCGCCTCAGGCAATGGCAGAATTCCTCTGATCGGGAGGTCTGGCCGCCACGGCGAAGGCGGAGAACCACTAAAAACCACAGGCGGGAGAAGCTTGTGGACGTGGGATTCGGCTGGCACCTTTTGCGCCTCCCCGGTTTCGGGGATCCGGAGCGACGTGGGGTGAGTGGTGCCGTGCTTTGAATCGACTGCTTCTTTCACAGAGTGAAGCCGCATTGCTATTGCCGGAGAGTGCTGACTTTTTCCTGTGGACAATTTGATCTTAAAACAACTACCCGTGAGTAGAACAGAAAATTGGATTTTTAAACGTCTTAATTTGGCACCGAACGGGGAGGTTTCAAACAGGAAGTCCGCCCCCCCCTTTTGTAAATAGATTGAAGCAAAGAGGCTGCAAGCTAAAGCCTTGGAAAGTCTCTCATAAA